CTCTGACCAGACTCCTGTTAAGAGGGTGGGATGGGGATGCCTCTAAATATTCCACATCACTACCAAATGGCCCGGGAATCCACAGCTGATCCTTCCTCTTCCTCTCCTGTGGATGGTCTTGCCCTCAATTCAGTTTATTCATTTGAAATTGATCATTGTGAATAACCTGCATTATTTAAAATTCTCATAGCCACTCTGAAACAGTGAAGACTATGAAATTCTATGTCTTTGAGAAGAATCACCCCAAATTTATTGAGCACACAGAATCAAGTTACATAAATGATGTCTATTTCATATTCTGGGTACATACATTTGCAATTAGCTATGCCAGGCATTTTTCTTTTACTTAATTTCACTATCATCAAGTAGTATTTATTAAGCACAAACTGGGCTAAATTAATTTTGCAATGAGAAGCAATCTTAAATGCTTTCTCTCTGCTTAAGAGTCCTTAAATAATCCATCTACCTGATACACGACATTTGTTTCCCTCAGGGGGAAAAAAGCTCTTAAATTTGAATTTTTATCTTATTATTTCAGGGCTTCAATAGGGTACAGTCTGCTCCTAACCTCAGCATATTCAAATGTAAAGAGTGCCAGCCATGGTGTGACACACTGCATGGAATTCTTTCTTATGCTTATGCTAGTGTTGATGGTTTTCCTAAATTAAAAAAAGATGGATCTATTTTAAAAATGATTTTAGTTAAAAAACAGTCTAATTGTAAGCAATAAACATAAAATAATAAAATATATTAAATTTTATGTAATATAGTTTATCAAAAGCAAAACAATTGAGAACCATTGAACTTGGAGATGTTTAGCATATGATTAGAAACCTAAAATCTTCAAAGTGACTATAGTGACTTTAGAGAAAATACAAAGTGAAGGTTTAATGCAGATTTGGAAAAAGGGGGATACTTTTCCAAATGCAAAACTGACATTTCTTTCCATTTGACAGCAACAACAGCACGTTTCACTTGAAATTCCAGCCACAATGATGAATTTGAAAAAAATCATTGTCAAGAACACCCTCATTTCATCAGAGTCAGAGTTCTTGGTTGTAAAGAAGCAGACACATACTCTTATATTTTGTTCCTAGAAGCAATTACACTATACTTTGGAGAATGCCTAGGTAGAATGATAGAAACTAAAATAAATGCAGAAGCTTGCAACAGGTGCTCCTATGTAAGCATACTCCATCAGTACCCCAAGAAGCAGCATTGTGCTGGTGTGGTCCGTGCCACTTTGTGAATGATGTGGTGCAGCTCACAGAGATGCTTCAGGAGGCTCTGCAAAGAACTCCAGATACCATGCTAGCCTGTAACTGCATGACTTTTGCAAAGTAGAATTCTTGGGTGTTATTTCTCCTCCTCCTTCACGTTTGTGGGAGTCTTGCATTTATGTATACAGCAAAAAAAAAATCATGCTCTGGTATGCATGGGTAGGTTACTTATGTATGTGTTTGGGGGGGAGATGACATCAGGGCATATTCAACAACTTCTAAGTTTCTAGGCATTCTCTCTTTTTTTCCCTAATTTTTCTTGGGTGTTGTTTTTCTTTGTATCTTCAATGTTCTGAGTTAATTTAGGATTTGGATAATTTGGAGTAAGGTATACCTGCAATTCAGCTTGCACTGGGAATAGCTCAAGTTCCTGCTAGTTGTCCAAAGAGCACCCAAGAGTAGCTACATGCATTTAGTAGCAAACAGAGGTCTACCGTTTTATTAGAAACAATTCAAAGAGGAAATGAGAAGCTCAAAGTAGTTGCCTGGTAGGCAAGAGAGGAGACAAAAAACAAGGTCCTCAATCAGAACTGAGTCATTCTGAGATTTTACATCTGGCCAGGAGTCTGCCTTTGTTTTCTATCATCAGAAGCTCCCAGGAGAATACAGCATGGAGAATCCACAGGAAGAATTTGGTCATACTTTTCAAAGTAGTTTAGTTTTCAACAATTCCCCCTTCCCTTAAGGGAAAAACACCTTGAGAACCAATTAGTGGTAAGACGGGCTAGGAGAAAAAGATAGGGCTCCAGTAGAAAAAAATATTTTGTTGATTTCAGGTAAAATCCTAGGGCCAGATGCTAATATGGATGTCCTGGTGCTCATCTTTCCTGCCCCAGGGACACTGCAGTGTGTTACATTTGTTTCTCTTCAACCAGGACAGGAACAAAGTCTCCAAACAATTTTTGTAAGACATAATCCAGATTCTTGAACAGGTGGCAAATTTCTAAGGAGTAACAGTGGATTATTAGACTAGCAGAAAAGAAAGAAAAATACGATTTCCTTCCCCTTAATCAGATTCTTCTTGAACAAAGCTCGGGGCTCTACTGCTGGCAGTGAAAGAGGTAAACAAGACAAATGGATACTAACCATTCACAACAAGGCTAAATTCATGATTGATGCTGCTTACTGTTTAAGATCAGCTATAAATATGCTGTCCAGTGGTTTTCAATGGTGTGATTGTCTGACTCAGCAGACCCAGGTCAGGAAGAAAATTTACATAAATGGAAAGTGAAATCTCTCAGCAAGAAATGGGACTGTTAAGAGACTGCTTAGGTAAGGAGCTGCTTGCTTCCAAACAGATACTAAAACACCTACCAATATCTGCTAGAGCTCAAGCTATCACCCTTTAAAAAAAAACAAAAACAAAAACAAACATGTTTGCTTTTAATTTCCAAGAAGTCATCTCACTTTCAATTTTACTTGGAATAAATTCTTCACAAAAGAGCTGTCCTTAGGAATGGGAAGAATAATATCAAGCAGGTGTTCGCAAACATAGCACCTGCCCTCGGAGAGAGTGCACACTTGGACTGCTTGCCAAGAGGGATGAGCATGATACAAGACTATGCCAGGGAGTGGCCCTATGTTCAGGCACACAATTCATGGTCTGAAAAGTATCTTCACTCTAAAGCAATGTAGCACAGGCTGTGGAGTCTGATTTTATATCCAGCGGGTCCAGATTATCTCACAACAATAGAGCTCTGAAATCACTGTCATGTGCAATGCCCCCTTTGATAAATGACATAATAAAAATGTGAAAACAAAGAATAAAATTGGATAATACATTTTAAATGTTTATCATGGTACCTAGCAGGAAGTATGATGGGTATTGGTGTTTGATGTCGTTATTGTCATTCTGTTTCCCTTCCATTCCTGGTTGTATTATTTGAAAAACATTAGAGGGTATTTTAGATTCATTCATAGACCTCATTGCTCTGCCCATCTCTTCACCCACACTTCTGCAAGTTTAACTGTGAGGACCACGATTTTCAATCTATGAGCTTGGATTCAGTCTTATAACTATTCTGACCAGTTTTGTATGTATGTTGTGGCAGAGGCTAGCCATTGTAAACTATCTCTCTGATAACCTTAGCCTGATGACAAAGGGATGGTAAAATATGTGGAATATATTATGCCTATAGACCAACAGTGTGACAGAAAACACCTAGCCTGAACCAGAACCTCCACCACCAGCAGCAGCAGCTGCCCTGCAGAGCCATGAGCAAAATAAAAACATATTGATTAAATTGCTGAACTTTTATGATTATTGATCATGTAACAAAAGCTGAGTTGGGGAATAAATTAAAGAATTGACTACATGCAGTGCAAGTCCCCATGTTCCAAGAAAAAAAGACATCAGCTTAAGGTCTAAATTGAAGGAAGAGTAGACGTTGGGGACATAAGGAGACAGTGCTTCAGCAAAGCAAGGATAAGACCTGGCTATTCTGGAGAAGCTAAGCAGGCCTTCTCAGCTTTGGTGAGTGAGTGGGCACACATGGCCAACAGTAAGATCATTTGCAATGGTTAAAATGCATTAGAGGCTTTGGTAGACACTGAGCCAAAGACTCTATGACAGTGGTTCCCAACCTTCCTAATGTTGTAACCTTTTAATACAGTTCTTCATGTTGTGGTGACCCCCAACCATAAAATTATTTCATTGTTACTTTACTTCCTAACTGTAATTTTGCTGCTGCTGAATCAGAATGTAAATATCTGATCTGCAGGATACCTGATTTGCAACCCCTGGTTGTGACCCACAAATTGAGAACCACTACTCCATGTGCACTGTGTCTTAGTCTTAACAACAGCTCTACACATAAGCACTAGAACTTTACTGACTTCCTAAGTGAGGAAACTGTGACCAGTTTGGAAGAGTAATTTGCCTATATTTACAGAGGAAGGGAGAAATGAAGACAGGATTCAAACTCCAGAATATCATTACTTAGTACTTCACTCCTCTCAGTCTCCAGTGTGCATTAATTATTTAATCCCTCAGGCCCTTATGGACAAGGTTCTACAGGTAACAAAATGTGAGACAAGTATTCAGTATCCTTGCCCAGAGTTTCACTGGGACACCAAGTAGTGGTCGTGTTGGAACAATCAGCTAACTATTACAGGATGCTAATAGCTTTGGTCCCACAGCCCACCCAAATGTGGAAGAGTATAACCATAATATTCTCTACCTTTCTGGAACTGAATAAGCTTGCTCAAGTGCTTAAAGGCAAATATGCATTCTGGGCACTGTAGTTATCTTCAGGTTTGTGGAGTGATGAATGCCCTTTAGTTTATTCTACACAAATTCTTTGAACCTACTAGGCTTTTTTCTTTCTTTCTTTCTTTCTTTCTTTCTTTCTTTCTTTCTTTCTTTCTTTCTTTCTTCTTTCCTTCTTCTTTATTGCAAGCGAATTCTCATTTGTTGCCTTCATGGCAACTCATTCTAGTTTTGTTTTCTGATTGTATAGCTTTAGGCACTACTCTGCCAAGTTTTAAATTCAGAGGACTCTTAGTGGAGTGATCAAGAGAACGGTAGTCATGATGAGTTTTCAGAACTACCATAGGAAGAATGAAAACAAGGAAGTGGTCTCCAGATCTGTCCACACATATTTCCAGTGGCTAGCAGGAAAGCCTCAATGGTTCCCACCCTTCAGATGTCCTCTATCTGGGCTTCAAGAACAACAGCTATATCCCCAAGTACCAGCACCCAGACAAACATCACACCCTTACCTTAAAAGCAGCACCTCCGTGGATGATAGATTTGATAAAAATCCCCAAGTCAGTTCCAGTTTCTCTGGATTTGTTCCCTTTCAAGCTAACCCCGAGGCCAGCTGAGCCGGAATCATTTAGGGGGATCTCCAAAGTGAGCTGCTCGCTTGTCTCCAGGGAGAGTGTATAGCAGTCGGGCTCTCCTTTCTGTTGGGAAGAGTAAGAGAGGAGACTGATTATCAGTTCACCTTCTCAGATGAACTGAAGCAGATGCAGTTGGCAAGATGGGATGGTTGGGCCTCTAGTAGTTGTATTCCTGGCAGACAGAGGCTAGCCTCTATCTCTGCCTGTAAGATGCTACCACCATGTCTAGCGCACAATGAAGTGCTCTTTGGGGATAGAACTTGGTGATGGTCAAGAAAAAAGGCCACTTGGTGAGGCCATGTTGTACAGCTTTAAACATTCTGTAGACATTTTGAAACTCAGTAGCATGTTAAGATAATGGAACAGGCTGGATATTAAACTCGGAGAATGTCAGGTTTCAGTAGATTCTTAGATATCATTCATTCTCCACATCTTCATCTTACAGACAAAGACACAGAACTTACTATATAGATAGAACTTGGTGGAAAATTTGGAGAAATATTTGCTTATATAATATAAGATATTGTTTACTATGAGAACTATAGCATCAGTGAAGAATATCAATAGGACACACAGCACAGGGAAATTTTCATTTTCAAGTTAGAGAAACATGTTTAATGGTTATCATCGAATTAAATTTCATCTTATCAAAAATCATGCTGCAAGCTTATATCATTGTCTAGCAGAGCCCCCTAAAAATAAATATGTTCTTAGACTGCAATAAAAAAGTGATTATGCATAATTAATATTCATGTCCTCTCTGACAAATGATACCTACCCACTAGCAAACTAGTCTCCACACAGTCAGAGTGTGGTGGCAAAAGGCAGGCTTACGGGCCAGCTCTCCTGGGAGAAGTATATGGTTAGTCATATTTGTACAGTGGCTTTTCAGATACAGAGGCATGAGAATCAGCACGTGCTGTGCAAGTGATAATTGCATAACTGTCCCTCCCGCACCTCTTCAAGCTTGCAGGAATATGAAAGTGCCACAGTGCTTAGCTTTGGACAGTTTGAAAATGAGATATTCCTGAAAACCATCCACTCATTCTCGGCCAGCAGTTCCTTCCTCTCTGCAATTATGTCTAGAGAGGCTCATCTTAAGGTCACTCAGAGGTGACTCTTCTGTAAGATTGTGTATTTAAAACATTGTCACGAGTGTCTGAATGTCAGTCTCAAATCCATATAAAATCAGAAGTAGCAAAGAACCCATAATTAAAACAGGATTACGGGGTCTGCTTATAGCCAGATCCACTGACCTGACATTTTTCAACCCCAGAACAAAAAAGACAAGAACCCACATTTAACTTGTAAAGAAATAGTTCTTTCAACTGCTTTCATTGTAAATGAGGTTTATTGGAAAGATGCTGACAGGACAAAAGGTTGGTCAAAGAAAAGAAACTTCATCGCTTTTAATAAAATTTAATAAATTTAATAAAATCTAATATATATATAATAAATACACAAAATCTAATATATATTATATATATATATGTATATATTAGTAGTATTAGCTAAGAAGCAAATTCCATGTCTGAAGTCAAAGTTACCATCCTTGGTTATTCCCCAGCCCCCATTGGAATGCCAGAGCTCAGCAGTAAATGTAAACAGTTAGCCTTCACCTTTGTCTTCTAATCTGCCTAATTTAGAATCCATAATATTTTACAGTCACTTATGTTTCTGGGCCTCTCTGGGATTGGGGTAACTTAAGTCTAATAAAGTTATACAGAATTAAACTATAAATTAAAGGACAATTGTGAGAACAATTGTATGTTCTGAATACTTTAGGAAGTAAAACTACAAAGTTCTTTGGCTACTAATAACAGAAAATTGTTAAAAGGAAACCAACTCTGCTTTAGAAATGCAGTTATATATTATCTATTGATGGGGATTTGAGCTGATAAATACATTCCTAGGATACATGACTTTTTGTGGCAAGTGCATAATATCCTTACACATACCAAAACATCTTATGACACCATGTGGTATATGACTGTACCTTCAAATCCCTAATATGATGATCGAGGAGTTTTCACTTAAAAACTGTATTTGACAAGTAAGATTGACAGTCATTATTGTTTAATGCTAATACCTCTAATTTGTTATCTAACTGCAGAAAAAAATAGTGATCACATGACATTATGGTTACTTTTTCATTCCAAAGTTAAGTTCCTGACATAGGTAAGCCAGAAATATGATCAAAACAAGAAACTAGGGGCTAATGATGATGGAGTTGACCTGTTACAAGTACCTGACACATGTTAAAGCACTTAGCTTCACAGTGACTCTAAAGGTTTATTTATTATCAGGACCATTTTAAAGGCAAAGGAATCCATGGTGCATAGCAGCCAGGCACTGTGCTAACAGATCAGAAGGCTTGTAAATACAGAAGCTTTGTGATGCCTAGGCAGCATGACTCCTGGCTCCAACTCTTATTTATTTTTAGGAAAAGGTCATGAGCTGTTTATTACATGTCTGGTATTCCATAGTCATTTAAAGAAAAGCACTGACATTTTTCCATGATCTACGATTAAAGATGATGTGAACTATGCTGTAAATTTATTATTAAATGACAAATGTTGTATATACTAATAGTATATATATTATGCATTTATGAATATAAGGCTGGAGAGATGGTTCAGTGGATACAGAGCCTGAACTAGTCATCTCCTGAGACCCAGAAGATTTTGAGTGGAGGGATTAAGACACCAACCAGCCACACAACCTTTGACCTACATAGTCTGTCCTGCCTATGGGAGATGCTAGGATGAGGGTGTCATAGAGATTGTAGAAATGGCCAAAAAAATGACTGCTCCAGCCTGAAACACATGCCACAAGAGTGAGCCCACCCCTGACACTGCCTGAAGAGCTAGGACCCAGAGGCTGGATGCCCAAAGTTCTAGGATAGAATCAAACATGATTGGAGAAAAAAATACCAACGTAACGATGCCTAATGATATTCTGTTATACTCGTAGATTGGTGACTATCCTTTTGTTTGGCTTTTAGGATCCTATTCCTGATATTGGGTTTCTTTGAGCAGCCTTAGTACAAGAGGAGGTGCTTACTCTTATTGAAACTTGATATGCCATGATTTGTTGATATCCATGGCAGACCGGCCCCTTTCTGAACACAAACAGGAGTGGATTTGGGGAGGGGCAGAGGAGAAGTGGGGGGAGGGAATGGGAAGAGGGGAGGGAGGGGAAACTTAGATCAGAATGTAAAACAAATAAATTTAATTTAAAAAAAAAGTGCTTGCTGTCCAAGCATGAAGACATGAATTAGGATCCAGAAACTTAGCACAAACCAATGCACATACAGACGTGTACCACATAAGTCCACATACACAAAACATGGTAAAATAAAAACATTGAACTTATTAACATAAGCATTACCTCAGATACCTATTTTTGAGGGCAGTGGAGTTACACCCCTTAAACCTGTTTTCAATGAATTTTAAGAATACATTGTTGTAAATTAGAGTCACCATTCAGTTAGTACAATCATCTCTAGACCACTCCTGTGAGAATCGAAATTTGGTGCCTTTTGAAATTTGGTATCTTTCTAATCGTCTTGACCCCTGGAAATCATTTGCTTTTTACTTCTGGGTTTTATTTTGTCTCTTCTTTAATCTCTTTGTTTCTTTTTTTATTTTTCTTTTTGAAATGATAGGTTTTTATTCTGTAGCTCAGGCTAGCCTCAAACTCAGCAATTTTCCTGCATCTGCCTCAAGAGTGCTAGGTTTATAAATTAAGATTACAAGTGTGAGTAGCATGCCTGGCAGCCTGATTCTTTAATACTGTGCCACTATACATCCTCGTGTCCCAGATTTGTGACCCATGATGACATGATATAGTCACTGGACATTTCAAGATAGATTCCTATCTATCTTGAAAGTAACACGATACACAATTTATATTCTCTACCATCTAGAGTTATGCTTCATGTCTTTGTTAAGCTGTAACGGACTTGAGTCATAATTAGCGGTTTCTAATAATGGCAAATTCCCAATGGTGAAGGAAGCCATTACAGTAGTTAACACAGCCATTTCCTCTCTTAGAAATAAATGTTCCTTTACCTAATGTACAAAGAAAAAAAATCAATATACTGAATGCCTCATACCAATAATCCTGGCTCATATAGCAACTCTGAAAATTAAACTCAAACCTTGTCAGACAGCATTCTGCCTTGGATGGGATGGTGTATAAAGCACTCACCAGTTCCACTACCTCCAATTAAGGTCATCAGAGATGTGGCCAAACTGAGGACATTGTCACATCCAGACTGCAGATGCTTCCTGTCTTCCTGTCTTTTCAGAAAGAGATCCTCAAACTTGTGTTAGGTGGACCCCTGCCTTTTCCTCTTACAGATACCTGCAACTCCCCACCAGAAACACTGGTGTAGTAAGGGACAGTTTGTGAATCATAGTTTTAATTTGCCTTCTCATTATTTTTAATAGCTTATCACTAGTGCCTCAGGACACAAAGTCCTCAGTATTCCCAGGGTTAAGCTAAGATAGAAATTCAACATGTGTCCACTATGTATTATCTAAACTCAACGACACAGCACTTGATAGGGACCTATCATACAGAATCATCAGCTTGGGCCTTGGACTTTGCACAACTGACATGTGTGGCTGTTTGGAACTGTCCTATGTATTGTAGTTAACCACATCCTTATAGCCTCAGTAGTGTTCCTGCACCACCTGTGACAACTAAAAATGCCGCAGGCATTGCCATATGTCATTTAGGTTCAAATTACATCCAGTTGAGAAACCACTAGTCTTGAATTAACATTATCGAATGCAGCCAAATTAAAAAATGCCTGGGCCTAGAAAGATTAATAGAAGTTGCTAGCTACATTGCTATTACTGATATGTTCCCAAGTCCCAAGACAGCAAACACCCTTGCAGTTGGGCAGGTCTTCAGTCCACAGGCTAATAACCAACATTTGTTTTGAACAGACTGCTACAATCATGCACTCAGCCATTTTTTTTTTTTGGCTTTTACAGACAGGGTTTATCTGTGGCTTTGGAGGCTGTCCTGGAACTAGCTCTTATTTACCAGGC